GAGAGAGAGAGAGAGAGAGAGAGAGAAAGAGAGAGAGAGATGAAACTGAAATTCTTGTGTGGGTTACAAAAAAAAAATCAAGGTATGCCTACAATTTAGAACAGGATATATTAGCATGAGTGAACTTACGTATGATAAGTCTTAGTATCTCAAAAAGTCTAACAGACATTTGGAGAGCCCAGCTTAGCAAAATGACAATGACAGTGACCTCTGAAATATTCAATCTTCTCTTTCATAACTACCCAGGGACACTTTGGAGTTAGTTTAGTTTTAGTAAGAGTTTTACGGTACTTGCAACACAATAAGGTCATATAAGTGCCGAAGAATAGATGTGTTACAAGAGAGAAACGTACACAAAAAAGGAGAGAAAAGGATGACAAATGATTGATAGGAAAGAAGGAGAAAACCATACCAGAGCGCCCGCCAACCACCCACACTTTGGAGTTATTTTGGCTCACTGCGTGGCCCACATAGCACAGCCAAGGCACCCAGCCAGTCAACAGCTGTTTGCTCACCCACAGAACTCAGGGGTCAATAAACCAAACTATAAGAGGGAAAGTCACAGACAGAACAGGGAGGGAGGGGAGAAGGAGAGGGAGAGAAGAACATAGAGAGGGAGAGAGAGAGAGAGAGAGAGAGAGAGAGAGAGAGAGAGAGAGAGAGATAATTTTATCAACTGGTACTTTGAACAAACACACATACCTCACACTATTACAGGTCCAAAGACCCCAGACAGTGTTCGGCAAGCCTTTTGTTCCCTAACACAGCGGCCTGGACCTGACGGTCACTTGGTCAAGCTCGATGGGTAAAGTGCCCACTGTCCAGTCCTGCGACCTGTGATGTGAGTTGTACTGAAGACATCCAGGTAGCAAGAGCCTCCGCCTTATAAACTGTTCTCTTGAGGAAGATGTCAAGGACAGTACAAGTGACAGCTGACAGCTTGTTGTCTCTCTCGCCGACTTCTGGGAGTAGCCAACACCAGGGAATGTCCATTTTTTAAATAGATCGATGTCGTATTTTTTCTTAAAAGCACACATTCATACACGTGCGTGCTCACCTCCCCTCCCCTCCCCAACACACACACACACA